AAGGAAATTTTTAAAATACACTGAACAGAATAAAAATTTTAAAACAATATATTAATATTTTTTGGCATAATGCAAGCAGTACATAGTACTAAGAGGTAAATTTAGAATACTAAAGGCATACATTAAAAAGAAGAAAAGTCCCAAATGAATAATATAAGATTTTACATCAAGTACATAGAAAGAGAAAAGCAAAACAAACCCACAACCAACAGAAGGAAAAAAATAATAAGCAGCAGAAATCAATGAAGTTGAAAACAGAAAATCCATGAAACAAAGAGCTGATTCTTTGGAGGGAAAAAGTCAACAAAATTGGCAAACCTCTAGAAAGACTGATGAGAGAGAGAGAGAGAGAGAGAGATATACTAAAAATAGGAATTAAACCAGGGCTGTCACCATATACCATGTGAGCATAAAAAAGATAACAAGGGAATACTACCGACAATACTACACAAATATATTTTATACCTCAGATGAAATGGACCATATAAACTCATAAACCACAAATGATTGCAACTCACCCAGTATAAAATAGATAACTTGAATAGCTTATACCTATTAAGCAAATTGATTGTATAATTTAAAACTCCCCAAAGAGAAATCTTCAAGCCCGTACAGTTTCCCTGAAAAATTCTAACAAACCTTTAAAGAAGAGTTAACACCAATAATTCTTCCACAAAATTAGGTAGGAGGATTGCTTAAGGTCCTCTGGGCAACATAGTAAGACCCCTCTCTACAAAAGAAAAATTTAAAAATTGGCCAGATGTGGTGGCCTGCACCTGTACTGGGAAGGCTGAGGCAGGAGGATCGCTTGAGCCCAGGAGTGGGAGGTTGCAGTGAGCCATGATTGCACCACTGTACTCCAGCCTGGGCAACAGCAAGACTGTCTAAATAATAATAATAATAATAAAACAAAATACAAAAAGAGGACACACTTCCCAGTTCATTTTATGATGATAATATTACTTCAATACCAAAACCAGACAAAGACATTGCAGGAGTTGAGGGACGGAAACTACCAGCCCAGATTCTTCATGAACATAGATGGAAAAATCCTTAACAAAATATTAGCAAATAGGATTCAGCAATATAAGAAAAGAGTTATATACCATGACCAAGTGAGGTTTATTCCAGAAATGTGGGCTGGTTCAATAATGGAAATCAATCAATGTAACTCACTATAGTAGCTAAAGAAGAAAAATCACATAATCATACCAATCCATGCAAAAAAATTTGACAAAATTTAACACATTTATGATATAAACTCTCAGAAAAATTGGAATAAAGGGTAACTTCCTCAACTGGATAAAGATTTAAAATACCTACAGCTAACATTATGCTCTATGGTAAAAGACTGAATGCTTTCCCCTAAGAAGGGCGACAAAGAACATTCAATTTTATGTCTCTTATTTAATATAGTGCTGGAAGTACTAGCCAGTGCAATAAGGCAAGAAAAGGAAATAAGAAATACAGACTAGAAAAAGAAACAAAACTGTCCCAATGTGCAGATCACATGATTATGTATATAGAATATCCTAAGGCATGTATTTAAAAAAAAACTCCTATAACTAAGAAGTGAATTCAGTAAAGTAGTAGGAAAAAAGATACACATGCAAAAATCAATTATATTTCTATAAATGCAATGTACAGTTGCTATATGCAATTGTTAATTAAAAATAATTTAGGTTTGGGTTCAACATATAGAGAACTTGGAAGTCATCACTTCTGTCTTCAAAACAAGAATTAAGTCGGACAAACTGAAATTCAACAACTCTTCTTAGATCCGTTAGAGAACTGAGGCCATGGGACAAACTCCAGCGGACTCTTTGTATGAAGGCCCTTAAATTTTCCTGAGTTTTACCTGCAGGAACCCCAACAGGCTCTCAGTGTGAAGATCAAGAGAAATCCCCTTGTGCTTCCAACAGGGAGAGGGGAAAAGTAGCCATTTTGAAATACCCCCCGAGCCCTCTGTTCTCCTTGACAAAGCCAGACCACAGGGAAACTGTTTTACCACAGCTTAATGGACTGTGGTTTTACCAAAGCCTACCAATCTGGGGTAATGGATACCCCCAACTCCAGGCCACTCTACCATGGGGAAGGGGAAACACATAACTTAGGCTTATTAAAAGACTGAGACCTCATCACAGGACTGCTGAATACTTATTCCCATCCTCTTACCTTACTGCTGCATCAGTAAGGCTCCTGTATAATAAGAGGGGTTACAGCTAAAGAACTTCAACCGTCACACCATATTCAAAGAGACACTAAAGAAACCTAAATTTAACAGGAGAGACAAAAACAAGGTTACCAGAGGAAATTTTAGCCTCTGACACCAAAGCTATAGTAAACAGGAAACACGGCCTAACTCCAAGCCAGATAAACATAAAACCCCCTATTAAAGGCTTGTTTTGCATTTCTCTAATGACCAGTGATGATGAGCATTTTTTCATATGTTTGTTGGCCTCATATATGTCTTCTTTTGGAAAATGTCTATTCATATCCTTTGCCCGCTTTTGAATGGGTTTGTTTGTTTTTTTCTTGTAAATCTGTTTTAGTTGTTTGTAGATTCTGGATATTAGCCTTTTATCAGATGGGTAGATTACAAAAATTTTTTCCCATTCTGTTGGTTGCCAGTTCACTCTAATGATTGTTTCTTTTGCTGTGCAGAAGCTCTGGAGTTTAATTAGATCCCACTTGTCTATTTTGGCTTTTGTTGCCAATGCTTTTGGTGTTTTAGTCATGAAGTCCTTGCCTATGCCTATGTCCTAAATGGTTTTGCCTAGGTTTTATTCCAGAATTTTTATGGTGTTAGGTCTTATGTCATAAGTCTTTAATCCATTTGGAGTTAATTTTAGTGTAAGGTGCCAGGAAGGAGTCCAGTTTCTGCTTTCTGCCCATGGCTAGCCAGTTTTCCCACCATTTATTAAACAGGGAATCCATTTTTACACTGTTGGTGGGAGTGTAAATTAGTTCAACCATTGTGGAAGACAGTGTGGCAATTTCTCAAAGAGCTAGAAATAGAAATTCTATTTGACCCAGCAATCCCATTACTGGTTATATATCCAAAGGATTATAAATCATTCTCTTATAAAGACACATGCACACGTATGTTCATTGCAGCCCTGTTTATAATTGCAAAGACTTAGAACCAACCCAAATGCCCATTGATGATAGACTGGACAGGGAAAATGTGGCACATATACACGATGGAATACTATGCAGCCACAAAAAACTATGAGTTCATGTCCTTTGAAGGGACATGGATGAATCTGGAAACCATCATTCTCAGCAAACTGACACAAGAACAGAAAACCAGACACCGCATGTTCTCACTCATAGGCGAGTGTTGAACAATGAGAACACGTGGACACAGGGAGGGGAGCATCACACACTGGGGTCTGTTGGGGGGCACTAGGAGAGGGACAGTGGGGGGTAGGGAGTTGTGGAGGGAGAAATGCCAGATATAGGTGATGGAGATGGAGGCAGCAAACCACATTGCCATATATGTCCCTATGCAACAATACTGCATGTTCTTCACATGTACCCCAGAACCTAAAGTACAATAAAAAAAAAAATATATATATATATATATATATATATATATATATATATATATGGCTTGTTTACCTCAGTTACATTTATCTGATACATCATATCTGGTTTTCAACAAAAAATTATAAGGGACATCCTAAAAGGAAAAACACAGTCTGAGGAGACAAACCAAGCATAAAAACTGACTCAGATATCACCAAGATTTTGGAATTATCAGGCTAGAAATGAAAATAACTGTAATTAATATGCTGAAGACCTAATGGGAAAGGTGGACAATATAAGAGAACAAATGTGTATGTAAGCAGAGAGATGGAAACTCTAGGAAAGAATCTAAAGGAAATGCTAGAAATAAAAACCACTGTAACAGAAATGAAGAATTGCTGGATATGGTAGAATGGCGTATTTGTCCCATCTACTTGGAAGGCTAAGCTGGGAGGATCACTTGAACCCAGGGGTTCTAGGCTAGCCAGAGCAACATAGTGAGAACTTGTCTTAAAAAGACGGAAAGAAAGAAAAGAAAAAAAGAAAGAGAGAAAAGAAGGAAGGAAGGGAGGAAGGAAGGGAGGGAGAGAGGGAGGAAGGAAGGAAGGAAGGAGGGAAGGAAGGAAGGAAGGAAGGAGGGAAGGAAGGAAGGAAGGAAGGAAGGGGGAGGGAGGGAAAGAAAGGGAGAAAGAAAGAAGGAAAGAATGCAAAGGAAGAAAGAGAAAAAGAAGGGAAGGAAGGAAGGAAGGAAGGAAGCCTTTGAAGGGTTTATTAATAGACTGATCAGAGCCAGAGGAAGAATCAGTGAGCTTGAATATCAATAGAAATTTCCAAAACTGAAATACAAAGAGAAGAAAGAATGAAAAAGACCAGAAAATGCAAGAATTGTGGGACAATTACCAAAAAAACTGTGGAACATATGTGTGAGGGGAATACCAGAGGGAGAAGAAAAAAAGCAAGGGACATAAACAGTGGGCAAAGGACGCAGGCAGACTTTATCAAAAGAAGACATGCAAATGGCCAACAGGCATATGGAAGAATGCTTGACATCACTAATCATCAGAGTAATGCAAATCAAAACCACGATGAGATATCGTCTCACCCCAGTTAGAAAGGCCATTATTAAAAAGACAAAGAAATACATGCTGGTGAGGATGCAGGAAAAAAAGGGAACTCATATACTGTTGATGAGAATGTAAATTAATACAGCCATAATGGAAAAGAGGATGGAGGTTTCTCAAAAAACTAAAAACAGATTTACCAAATGATCCAGCAATCCCTGGGTATTTTTGCAAAGGAAAAGAAGTTGGTATATTAAAGGGATACCTGCACCCCCATGTTTATTGCAGCACTATTCACAATACCCCAGGTATGGATCAACCTCAGTGTTCTTCAGTGCACAAATGGATAAAGAAAATGTGGTCTATATAAACAATGGAACACTATTTGGCCATAAAAAAATGAAAACTTGTTATTTGCAGTGACCTGGATAGAACGAAAGGTCCTTATCTTAAATGTAATAAGCCAGACACAGCAAAACAAATACCACATGTTCTCACTCATATGTGGGAGTTAAAAAGGTTGATCTCATGGACATAGAGAGTAGAATGATAGCTACCCGAGGCTGGGAAAGATGTGTGGGTAGAGGGGACGAAGAGAGGTTGGTTAATTGGTACAAAGGCACAGTTAGATAGAAGGAATAAATCCTAGTGTTTGAGAGTAGAGCAGGGTGTCTAGTTAACAACAAGGCATTGTATATTTCAAAACTGTTAGAAGAGAGGACTTGAAAAGCTCCCAACACATAGAAACAATACATACTCAAGGTAATAGACACCCCAAACACCTTAACTTGTTCATACACATTCTATGTCTGTAATGAAGAATCACATGTACCTCATAAGCATGTAAAATATTATTTATCAATTAAGAAGTTGGAACAAGTGAAAAAAAAACATAAAGGAACAAAAGAAATATTTGAAGTAATAATGACTGAGAATTTTCCCAAATCGATTACAAGATACCACACCCAGGTCTAGGAAGCTCAGACCACACCAGACAGGATAAATAGCCCCAAATCTACACATAATTATATCATATTCAAACTGTAGGAAACCAAACACAGAGAAATTCTTGAAATAAGCCAGAGATATGAAACCACCTTACCTGTAGAGAAACAAGAATAAGAATTAAATTATTCTCTTCAGAAACCACACAAGCAAGAAAGTGGAGTGAACTATTTAAAGTGTTGAAAGAAAAATACATTAACCTAGAATTCTCCCAGTGAAATTATCCTTCAAAAGTGAAGAAGGTTCAAGACCATTCTGGCCAACATGGTAAAACCTCGTCTCTACTAAAAACACAAGAATTCACTGGGCCTGGTGGTACATGCCTATAATCCCAGCTACTCAGATGGCTGAGGAATGAGGATTGCTTCAACCTGGGAGCTAGAGGTTGCAGTAAGCTGAGATCAGGCCACTGCACTCCAGCCTGGATGACAGAGGGAGAGTCTGTCTCAAAAAAAAAAAAAAAATGTGAAGAAGAAACAAAGACTTTCTTAACCAAGCAAAAATTAGAGAATTTGTACCAGTAGACCTGCCTTGCAAGAAATGTTAAAAGAAGATCTTTAAGAGTTGGATGTGAGGGCGATCTGGCTGTGACACTGTCACCCCATTGATCACCAGGGTTGATTCTGCTTGGCTGATCTGGCTGGCTCGGCGGGCATTCCCCTCCTCCCTTACCACTCCATGTGCGTTCCTCCTGAAGCTGCGTGCTCGGTGGAAGAGGACGACCATCCTTGATAGATGAGGACCTTTCTTCGGTCAAGGGTATACAAATAGCTGTGGTCCCCCACTGGAACCTCCAAACAAGCTCTCAAGAGTAAAGAAAAATGATATAGTTTAGAATTCACATCTACATAAAGAATAGTATTAAAGAAGGAATAAAGGCAAAATATAATTCTTTTATTTTTTCATATTTTTAATTGATAACAGTTTGCTCAACATAATAATACCAAGAGGTGAGGCATGGTGGCTTATGCCTGTAATCCTAGCACTTCGGGAGGCCGAGGTGGGCAGATCACCTGAGGTCAGGAGTTTGAGACCAGCCTGGCCAACATGGCAAAACACTGTCTATACAAAAAATACAAAAATTAGCCACTCATGGTGGCACATGCCTATAATCTGAGCTACTCCAGAGGTTGAGGCAGGAGAATCGCTTGAACCCCGGAGGCAGAGTTCGCAGTGAGCTGAGATTGTGCTACTGCACTCCAACCTTGGCGACAGAGCAAGACTTGTCTCAAATAAATAATAATAATAATAATGATAATGATAGCAACAATGTTTGCAATGATTACAGACACCCTAGTGTTGGCTCAATAGGCACATGAATGGAATGGTTATTGTGGCAGAGACGGGGGTTGTGTATGAGCCCCATGGCAGGGTCCCTCATTCATCAAGGATGATGAGTGCAGAACAGCACCGTCCATCAAGGACACCAGCTGGTCTGTTTGTGTCAAGTGATCTACACTGGATCTCATCTATTCTGGAAAGAGCAGGTACTCATCTTGACTGGGCTCGACACTTATTTCAGTCATGGGTTAGCCTTTTCTGCTCAGAAAGCTTCAGCCAGAACATCTGAGTATTTATTCTACTGACACAAGGTTGCACATGGCATCACATTGAACCAGAGGACCGATTTTACAGGAATGGAGGTGCAGCAGTGGGCACATGACCATGAAATCTACTGACCCTGTAACACACTGACAGAGCAAGGGAAAAGCCTCTAGAGCACAGGTGCTGGCATGATGACCAGTGAGAATACAATGCCCATGCTCCGGGATGCAGCATATGTTTCAAATGAATGACCAGTATATGGTCTGCTATCTCCTAGGTAGAACACATGGGTGTAGCACATCAAGGGTGGAAACAGTTCTTACCATAATCCCAGTCATCTCCTCTTTAATTTCTGCTTTTGGCCCCACGACTTTGGACTCTGTGCATTTAAAGATCTTGGCCCCAGAGAGGGAATGCTTCTATCATAGGCACAGCAAAAGTCTTATTAAATTTCATACGACGTGTCCCCACCCAACACAGTGGGTTCCTCCGGATAGAGCAACAGTCAAGGAAAGGAGTCACTATCCATGATTGCCTAATCATCAGGAGGAGGTAGAACTGCAGGAAGAGAAGGAAAAGGGTATGTTGGCACCTCAGTAATCACTCAACTGTCTCTCAATGCGCCTGCATTTGATATTAAGGGTAAAAGGGATAAATGTGGCCAGGTGCAGTGGCTCATGCCTGTAATCCCAGCACTTTGGGAAGCAAAGGTGGGAGGATCGCTGGAGCTCAGGAGTTCAAGGCCAGCCTGAGAAACATGGAGAAATCTCATCACTACAAAAAAAATTAAAATAAAATAATTAGCTGGGCATGGTGGCATGTACCTGTAGTCCCAGCCACTTGGGAGGCTGAGGTGAGAGGATCACTTGAGCTCCAGAAGTCAAGGCTGCAGTAAGCTAAGATTGTGCCACTGTACTCCAGCCTAGGCAACAGAGCAAGACCCAGTTTCAAGAAAGAAAAAAAAAAGGAAGGGGGCAGTTGGGGAGGTAAGTACAGCAGCCACAGCCTGAGAAGGGCCTGGTGCTGGGAACTCAGACCACTCAGGGATGAGGATCTCGATCATCCCACCAGGTGAGCCACCATCTCCATCAGCAGAGGTGCCTGCTAAGGGTTAGGGGAATCTAGGTCCGGTGGTTAAGGGAAATGATGAGCACCATTTGTGTCCTCGAGACCAGCTGCTGTGGCAGGGGCTATAGTTTGTTCCTCTAACTTTCCTTTTACACATTTCCTTCGGGAAGACAGGTCCATCAGAATCCTGAATCAGCTTCTCCCAGAACTTACATAAAAGCCAGTGGATCTGGCTTGGGGCGGTGGCTTATGCCTGCAATCCCAGCACTTTGGGAGGCTGAGGCAGGCAGATCACGACATCAGGAAGTAGAGACCATCCTGGCTAACACAGTGAAACCCTATCTCTACTAAAAATACAACAAATTAGTCGGGCATGGTGGTACACCACCTATAGTCCCAGCTACTCAGGAGGCTGAGGCAGGAGAATTACTTGAACCCGAGAGGCGGAGGTTGTAGTGAGCCGAGATCGTACCACTGCATTCCAGCCTGAGCAACAGAGTGAGACTCCATCTCTGGGAAAAAAAAGTCAGCGGATCTAAGTGGTGCAAGGGGTGGACTATAGCGGAGCCACAGTGTACTGCCCAGATTCCACCATCCATACCCCTCCCCTTAGAACTGAAGCCCTCATCCTCCCAGATGCTGGAAATGTTGGAAGCTGACAGTTTGTAGCTGGTTCTTCTTCCCAGTGATTGCCCTTGGCTAAAGACATCCACCTTGTTCAAGGTCATCCCCCCTTCCTGGAGACTGCTCATGGCCAGTGACTGACAGTCAATGAGAAGTTTTAAAGGAACAACTTTCTTGTCCCAGTTTGGAACACCTTGGGACCAGGCATCCCAGGTCCAGAATTCACCATGGGACCAGCTGATGCCTTTGTTGTGACTTGGTTACAGCCCAGCCTGTCTCTGCCCAGTCCTGGTTTCTTCCCTCCTCCACCTGGGTGATCTGAAAAGCACATTTGAATTAATTTTCTGCATACAAATCTCAGACTCAGAGTGCTGCCTACAGAAACCAACCTGCAACAATATCAAGAGTTGGACCTATCCCTTTCTGTGTCATTTAAAACATTAAGATATCCTTGAGAAAAAAAAAATCCCTTTAACGTCCTCTGCTTATATGGAGCAATAGCTTTCTTGATAATATATTAATACCTTATTACTGTTGTATTTTCATCCTTAGCCCTATGCTCTGCTTTTCATCTAGTCCCTAGATGATTAGAAAGCAAGATCTCTTCCATGAGGTTCCTACACATTGCATGGGTTTCTTTAACATGAATTCTGCTTTTTCTTTATTGGGACCATTTGTGATAGCCCCTTGAAAATTACATTTTTAGTTCTTCCCAATCTGTTTTTGTTTGTTTGTTTTCTTTTGTTTTGAAACAGAGTCATGCTCTGTCACCCAGGCTGGAGTATAATGGCATTACTTTGACTCACTGCAACCTCCCCTTACCAGATTCAAGCAATTGTCCTGCCTCAGCCTCCCAAGTAGCTGGGATTACAGGCACATGCCATCACACCCAGCTAATTTTTGTAATTTTAGTAGAGATAGGGTTTTACTATATTGCCTAGGCTGGTCTTGAACTCCTGACCTCAAGTGATCCACGTGCCTCAGCCTCCCAAAGTGCTGGGATTACAGGTGTGAGCCACCATGCTCGGCCAGTTCTTCCCAATATTTATAGCTGTGTTTCCTCATCTGCAAATAGGTGTCTGTACATTTCCTTTGAATTTTTTGTGTTCTACTTTTGTAAAGACTAAGAGACATTGCTGACCCAGCCAAAGTATGATTAACTTCTCTTAAAATTCAAATGCCAGTTTAGGCTTGTTCCAGTAGACTCTCCTCCCCTTTTCCCCACATTCTCTAGAGTATGAGCTGGTTGAGAAGCAGGAGAATGCACTATTCAGTACATTGAGAGGTTCTTCCCTGGCAGTGAGTGGGATTCAGAAATATTCTGGAGCCCCCTTTCCTTGCTTGGAGTGAATCTTGCCCTCAGGCCACCCCTGTAAGGCTCTGCATGGTGTGTGGCCAGCCTGATAGCTGGGCTTCAGCCTGGGTTCCTGGTTTTCTCTTCTATCATCTGCTGGGCCAGGAGCCAAGACTAAGCCCAGTCCAGTTGGCTGAGACTCTGCTTCTCCTAGTTTCTGCCAACTTTGTTGCTGGTATTTCTACTTTAATTCATACGTTGATCCCTGGGCCAAGACGCTGGTCAACAGGATACCAGGAACTCTTGCTTCTCAGAATGCCCCCTCCTCCCCCTGCCCTCAGATCAGGCCCTTCATACTGATGCTGCCCAAATTGCACCTGTTTCCACCCTGACTGCACCTGAGTGCACACTAAGACCTTGAACCTGAACCGTTAGCATCTTGCAGCCTGGGTGAGTTTCCCTGCCCTGTACTGGGCACCTCAGCAAAATCCTCACAGTGAATGCTTCCATACCCATCACTTCAGCTAGTACAGCCGCTTTGACAAATTAGTCCCTGTTAATGAGAATGAAGGCCAGGGTAGTTTGTTCCTCTGATTAGATCCACACCCTCAGAAGGGTAAAATTGCTGACAAAGCAAGTGAAAATGTTACCAGATTTTGAGCTTTTATCTTAATGGGGCTTTGTATGAGGATTAAATTTAGGTTTAGTTGTGACCAAAATATCCTGCCTCTTTGTTTCATTCCCTGTTATTAAAACAGTATTCAAAGCCTCCATCTCAGCAGATGGATTTGTTATTTTCCCACAATTACATTTTCAAAACTTTAACTTCAGAATTGTAGATATTCAAAATGATAGATATTTTACTCCAAAGGAAGAAAGACTTAATTTCTGACAGAAAACAAGCAGTATTAACACATAAACAAACCACAGTGGAACAATTCACTGGGATTTGTAAAATAGAGCACCACCTACACACCAGACACTCTGACATCAACTATATGCCAGAGAGGCTAAATGGCAAGTACCAAGAACCAAGCTGTTCTAAGAATGAGCAGGGAGATAGTGGCTCATCATCAAGCAGTAATAAGATGACTAAGGTCATAATAGACTAATAACTAAGATATTCATTGATCTTTCCAAGGGCTGTTTAGTAGCTTAAAATGTTATATTAAGATATTTGTTACAATTTCTTAAACTAAGATCTCATTTGTAAATGCGTACTCAAAATCATGTGTTAGCATAACCTCTTAAGCAAATTATACATTTCTTGGGCCAATATTAGATTTTATTTTTATTCTATATCCCTGGTATACATACTGGCCTTAGATAAACCCACGGTGGACAATTTACACACAAACGAAGAATCATTTGCATGTATGAAGCCAGTGAATAGTCTAAATTGCACAACTTACTACCACCCCAGGCAAGCCTATCTTTTATAAGATTATCTGTCCTGAGCTCAGTCAGTTTGTAAGTGGCCACACTGTTTTCCTTCAAACTGGTATTCAGCTAAGTGGACAGGCCAGGCAAATCCACTGGCAGATTCCTTCTCATTATGCTGGAACAATTACTGGAATTTAAGGAATGATATATGAAGCAAGATAATTTAAGACCACCAAAGAAGTGACAAGGGAACCATATTTTTGTGTGTCCCAGAAGCTGTCCTGCCTCCAGCTCAACGGATGTCTCTGCAAGTTCAGCACAGGGCAAATGGAGGGGGCACTCCAACTTCAGGGGCCTTTGCTTAACCTCATGTGCTCCAGGTTGGCTCTTGAGAATTAAAAACCAAAACCCACGTTATAAGCATCTTTCAAATTCTATTAATTGAGCTAGAGATATGGAAATAGATCTAGACAAAATTATGGGGGTGGGGGTGGGGTGAAGAAAGGACAGGAAGCCGCTGTCCTCGAAAGTTTCACAAAACGGAAGCGGGGAACC